GGGGTGCGCCCAATGCATGACCTACTGGAGGGTTCAATTTTCGGCACGGAAGAGGTGAAAGTGATTCCTTTGCATTCAGATACGTTAATGCTTTAGTATAATTTGAAAGTAACTGACATTAATTTTTTTACTGCAGGAAAGTGGTCAATGGGATGAGATGGTTGCCACGACATCGGAGAAAGCGATGGAGAAGATTGCAATGTTATTCGCACTTGGAGATTCAAAGAAAGATAAGGGTAATAATGGCAGTGGTGAGCGCGTCGATGAATCGTATGGGGCTGGTCGAAGGAAACTGAAAGGAAAACTCCATTGGGGATGTGATGGCACAGTGAATCATGAGGAGATTAATGTTCAGCGAAAGGAGAAACGAAAGGTTGTCATTCGGAAGAGGGCACATGTGAAGAAGATGGAGAAGAAGACGAAGAGGTCAGGAAGTGGTACTCCAATAGGGACACGAAAGAAAGCGGAAAAAGATATGGGAGACGCTCGTGAGAATGAACCTTCCTTAAGGGATATAATGACGGCAATAGTGCTTATGGAAAAAAAAAATTGAAGATGCGCATGGAAGTTACTAAGTTGAGAATTGCATTTAATGCCCACACCCGTCTTCTGAATGGGTATATATCGAGGAAGAGAAATGGTAAGCAACGGCATTCAAGTAAAAAGCGCACAACAGCGGATAACAGCATGCCTAGCTTTGATTTAGGATTTGAGAGTCAGGAGAACAATGATGGCACAGAACATGATGTGGCCGATGATGTTTGGCAGGAGGATATCAATATGGACGCTGAGATTGGGACCCAACCAGGTTTGTCTGGTAATGACCTGCACGATCCGTTGAATGACATTAGTACACAGGAAGTTGAGGGCAGATGGTTGAAGTCATTACATGGATTGGGGCTGGGGAAAGATTCTGAGAAAAATGGTGACAAGCAGGAGTGTGACAAGGTCTCACTGAATATGGTTAAAGACGTCATGCAGTCAGGCAATGTGGGCAAGGACGTGACTGTTGAGGATGTTCCATGTACTGGTGTGGACAGACCCAAAGAAGCATCACCAATGAATGGTCAGGAAAATGTAAGTAATTAACAGTAATCTAATTTTAGGGATGCGAAGAGTACAAGACTATTAATCGATACATATGTAACATAATGTCCTTTGTAGGATATTGAAGTAGATGTTGCAGGATTCACCGACAAGGTCGAAACCGCCTCGCAAGTAATAGAGGTTAATGCTGTAACATTCTTTAATCTGATATGAGTTGTTCTCAATACCTATGCTTTTAAAGTTCGCGTTATGTATGAAGGCTATTCAGGATTTACCCGAGGATGCAATTTTTTCCCCAGTAGAGGAGAACCTGGGTGAGAATTATAAGAATCCAAAGGATGAGGTGAGTTTGAGAGTTACGTTAATGTTCCCTGTTGCAGAGAAAGTTTTTGTTATGTTAATGAAGTGGTAAGTGGGAGTGGATGTGATGTCTGTACAAAACTGGCGGTATAAATATCCTGTCAAAATGAGGTAAACTGTAGGTAGTAAACGGCTTCTAGTATTTTAATGACCATACGTATAAGGTTGGGAAAAGCATGCCTAATGACCAAAAATAGGGGATTGAAATAAGGACAGTGGACTTAAGGTCTCCTATATTATGTTTTAGGTTAATGACCAAAGATGAGTGCGTATGTCTGGCAATGCTGGAATAATGACCAATGCAGGCTTAATGACTTCATGGGAAACGGTTTGAACAACCTAGCAAAAAATATTGACTGTCAAAGGTTTAATGACCTTTAATACATGTGTGGTGCACTAAACTTTTTGTGTTTTAGTTCTATTTAGGTAAATTTTTCGTTATCATGCGTGACGAATTTTGTGTATAGGTGTTGAGGTCGGGTACTGGCAGTGACTTGCTAAAGGGCATGTGTGAAGAGGTTAAGGATTCCAAAGATGATGATGAGGTGGTGAATGAAGAACCATGTACACAGATTGTGGTATGTTTTTAGTGTATAAATTTTGAATATGACTGATAACCGTTAGCCATTCCCTTGATGAGGAATTATACTACACATTATCCCATAGTCTTGAAATTTTGAATGATTCACAAGTGTATGAAGCACCGATGGCGAGTGAGGCACCACCAGATTTGAACTTAAAGCAAAAGAGGCCCTTGAAGTGTCTAGACCGATTCACTCCTGATGATTTAATGGTGCGACGTAAAACAAAACGGGTGAGAACAGAGAGTGCTCGTGTAGTGCGATTTGGGGGGTATGAAGATGAGTTCATGGGTTCATTCCCATCAGACCCAAACGAGATGCCTGCTCAGGAGGAGTTAATGAAGGTTGATAAGTTCATGTATCAAGGACTTTTAAAAAATCACATTAAGGCATCGGGGCGCAAGTACAAGGCGCATGAGGATGTGCTTGACCCAAGTGAGTATAAGCTTCACTATGGCGAGGAAGACACACTAACAAAGACCTGGTACTACAACATCTTTTTCTCCTGGGGATGGCTTTCAGATACGGTAAATATTAATAGAATTACTGTAATATGGTCGTAAAAGCAGCTTGGCGTACTATGTAACTACTACACATGTTTTGGTTTAAATGCAGCATCTAGATGTCATATTCTACTACCTTAGAATGAAGGGAGTAGAGTTTGGGTTGGAGCAACGGTACACGACAACAGACACCTCATTTCTTGCATTGTTGAAGACATTATGTGGGAGGTATATGAAGAAGGAACTAACCATTGAGGAAGCGACGCGTAATAAGACAGTAAGAAGCACGATCATGGGAGGGAAGATGGAATATGCTCGACCATGGCAGAGTGCAGATTTTGTGTACATGCCGCTGAATACTGGGAACCATTGGACATTGTTGGTGTTGGACATTAAGCAGAAGTTAATTAGGTCATATGACTCGAGCACCAGGAGAAATGATTCAAAAAGGAAGCTGAAGCCGTTTCTACCATGCCTCCAAATGTTCCTGCCAAAGATAATGGATAAGTTGGGCGTGTATGACGGACGGGAGGAAGGTCCAGTGGGAGATGATGTCATAGCAGTTGAAGATGGATCGTGCTGCCCCCAACAGAACGACGGGTATGATATACTTTGAGCTGTGTAATGTATTATGCTTTCCATGTTTAATAATGTTTTGGTTTTATTTTGGATTGGCATAGGTCTAGTTGTGGGATGTTCGTGGTGAAGATGGCTGAATTTCTGATGATGGGGTGTGATGTGGGGGATATGGATGATCATGAAATCGCTGAATACAGGAAGAAAATGACAGTGGAGTTGTTGGCATACTGTGCCGTCTAGGTTTAAAGACTTTTTTAAACTTGGGCATACTGACCTATTCAAAGTCCTATTTTGTTGCGAATGTGCATGGATTATGGAGACATTTGTTTTTGTGAATTAGACATTCCAATTAGAAGGTTGTTTTTTGATAAATGTGTTGATGGTATTTGGCATGTTATAGACGTGGATGGTTTGAAAAATATTAAGATTTGGTTTTTTATCGAAGTAGTGTGCATTTTTGGGTGAAACTATTGCTGTGGTCTTTACGATCTAGGCACATTGGGAATGCTTGCAAAAGTTATTTATGTTTATTACAGTATTGTAGTGTTCACTAGTGTTCGTAATATTTTAGAGATAGTTAGGGAAGCAAGTAAAGGATAGGGGCTGGGGTTTTTCTGCATATATGAACACATGCCAACGATGTTGATGAATGGTGTTTTCTGGTCATTAAAATCCTATTGAAGTACGTAATATTTAAACTTCTTAAATATTAGGTAATAATGTCTCACAGGAGCTATGATGTACAGTGTTGGTTGACATGAACTTGTAAAGCGACTAATAGAAAATGTTCAACAATCATTCCTTGGGTATGAATGGTCATATGGTGATGAAGTCATTAAGCTTCAGTGTTATGTAAGCAAATAGATGTAATGTAAATAGTGGAATGAGAAACCGGCTAACATAAAAAATGACCAAAATGATTTAAAATGTGTGTTAAATGAATTCAAAATGTGTAATAATAATAAAAGAGCTTGTTTTAAAGAATCAATGAATGAACGGTAAAACTAGACTAAACAAATACTTTCTTTGAAAACAAATTTCTTGGTAATGTCTTGATATGGAGTCAATCCCTAGCTACAGTAATGGGGTTAGTGCACGTCTTCCTATTGTGGCCAGTAGATTTGCATCGTGAGCAAGTTTGGCGCTTAGCATGTTCACCTTTAGACGGGATCCTTCGCTTTTTGGGCCTTCTGGGGGGACGTTTGTCACATGATGGTGGGTGGCAAACAACGTGTGCAACCTCATCGGGGACAACCCAAGATTCTTTAGATGGGATGGGGTGTATGATTCCAGAATATGTAGCTCTCCATGCAGTTGTGGTGTAAAAGGTTGAAACGTAATCATAGCAAGACAAACCGCCTCGACAACGAGTGGCAGCCACGGCATGAACACACACAAAATGGTCCAGCTGGAATTCGCAGCAAGTGCACGTCCTCTTTTGAAAGTTCACCACAAACGAGCGACCATTTTTGTCAAGTACAAGGAACTCGAAAGCACAAGCTGGCCTTACCTAGAAAAGTAAAGCAACACTATAAGCTCATAGATTATGAGTGAGTTATACTCTTAGGAGATGTGGTCAAAATAAGTACATTAATGCATGTGTACGAGACGTGCGGGTGTACGAATATAAAAGTGATATCATAATGACCTAGAGGAGTGTGCGCCTAAAAAAATAATGCCTAAATGAAACGTATAATAAGTGATGTCTTAATGACCTAAAACAGAATGATCCTAAGTGGTTAAATGAAAGACCATGTACACATTGTTAATGATTATTTGGTGAATTACTGACTTATGATAGTGACCTGAAGTTATGTATACCATATGCGCAGTTACTGACTTCGCACTACGTTCCATGAATAATGACCAAACAAATCTGATTTATGTGCAGAGTTGATTTAATAGTGGCCAAGGGTATAGCCGACCGATGTGGTCCTAACGTCTTCAAATTCAAATCATGTTAAAGCATGTAGTGTAATATTGACGTTTGAAATACGATGGTGATGGTGACGTAATTAAGTTATCGAGAATATGAAAAATAATATTAGAAAAGAATAAAAGAATTAAACTTACTTCCATAACAGCTGAAGCGGAATGTAGTTCAATAAGTTCCGACTCGTAGAACTTTGTTAAAGGTGATGACGTTGAGTTTGCCAATTCCCTACGCTCGTGGAACCACCTTTGGGTCCTGCCCATTAGGAAATCAACAAGTTGTAAAATTGGGTATTCACGTGGGACAACATCAACATTGTTCATGGACTCTGCAAGGTTAGACGTCATTATAGAATAACGTTGATTTGAGCATGATCTAGCCCACTTCTCTCTCCCGATTGCTTTGAGGTATCCACTAATCCTGGGGTCATCGCTGTCCAAATACTTCAAATATCGGTTGCACTCTGCTTCTGAAGCTGCCCTTGCAGCGCCATAAAACTTCCAAGATAATGACTTTTCAGATCCATGGAAATTAGTCTTGATGTTTCCAAATATGTGGAATATGCAATGGCCGTGCCCCGCTTGAGAGAAAACAGATTTAACTGCCTTAATAATTCCATCATGCCTGTCTGAGACAATATATTCCACAGGACGGTGTTTGAGAGCTAGCTTAACTCTTGATAGAAACCAGTGCCAATTTGCATCATTCTCGGCATCACACACACCAAAAGCTAGTGGGAATATTTGGTTATTCCCATCCCGCGTAACTGCAGTTAAAAGTGTCCCTTTGTAATA